CCAGTATCGACTCTGACACGTTCTTCAATAAAAAACTGGTATTTATAGGAGCATAATCCGGTCTCGACTTTGGAAGAAAAGTTGTAGATCTCTGAGTCAGTGACCTTGTGTAAAAATATGGGCCCAATCCAATAAAAATTGACCGAGTTATGAATTTTCGAAGTTTCGACCCAGATGAAATAATATTCAGCATTCAGGATTTTCGGCGCGTCACACGCACTCTGAGCAAAAAACGAAGGCCTTTTGGATACCGTTCAAACTCAATACCTCATGTGAAAACTTAGCCAACTCAATTTTTGAAATATTGGCGCCGGAACCAGCTTGATAAAATAAAAATCGACCAAGTTATTATTTTCTGAACATGACACAAATAAACTTCTATCACAAATTTTCTGTACGTAAATACTTGATAAATCCGCATTTTTGAAGACCTTATGTTTGAAATTAGCTTCCATCCGTGAGAGATTAAAACGTAGATGACGTCAATACGGAATTTTGGCCACCGGAACAGGTTCAAAACAAGTCACGATCTTCAAGTTATGAATTTTTTTGTGCGTAAAAACTGCACTTTCAGTACACTTTTTCACCATATTTCTTCGAGAAAACTCACACATTCGGAGACCTTCTTTAAAAAATTGACTCTTGAGCTGAAACTGAATTTGAGAATACGTTATCAGAGATATCTTGGCGAAAGAACACATGAATATGATGTGCCGGGTTGGACTTGTGAATTTTTGAACCCCGAATCATTGCAAAACGGCGAACCGATCTTCAGCACGAAAAATACTCTGACAACATCCATTGGCGAAATAAACGTCACTTGTAACCTGAAGAAGCTTGATAAATAAACCTTTATTACATAACCATAAAACCAATAATATGCGTGTATGAAAAGAGGACAAATTTTGGGGTACGACATATACCCTTTTAGGATCTTCATGTATCGCTCTATTGGATACATCCACCATAAAAAATTGGACCACATAATCTAATCTCTCTTACTAGATGAACAATTAAGTGAACCATAATGTCAAAAAATGAAAGGAGAAAAATACATCTCTAATTGGCACAAGATAACTGCAGCCTCATTTTCCAAATCATCTAACTTTAGTGGATCAATGGCTTTATAACAAATTGCATTGAAAAATAAGCACAACCTAGTTATAGTCTTCCTAACGTTGTTAGGAAATATCCCACGAATAGCCAATGGTAGTGGTTGTTGCATGAAGACATGACAGTCATGAGATTTTAAGCCAACTAATTTAAGATCTTTAACTGATACAAGCCTCTTGACATTTGATGAGTAACCATGCAGCACTTTGATACTTTGTAAACACTCACAAAAACTTGTTTTCTCTTTTTTAGACATAGTGTAGCAGGAAGGAGGCAAATATGTTTTGTTACCTATATATCGTGGAGTTAACTCTTCTCGTACACCCATCAAACCCAAATCCAGACGAGCATTAATATCATCTTTTGTCTTGCCTTGAATGTTGAGAAGTGTTCCGATTACACTATCACATACATTTTTCTTCACGTGCATCACATCAATACAATGTCTTACATCAAGACTAGACCAATATGGAAGATCGAAGAAAATCGATCTCTTTTTCCATACATTTTTCACAGTAGATCGTTTTTGGTACTTTCCAAAGACAACATCAAGTCCCTGTTGTCGCTGATAAACTTCCTCTCCAGACAAGGGCTTTGGAGCAACACCATGATCTTGTTCCCCATTGAAAGCTTTCTGCAATCTACGATATGGATGATAACATTTTAGAAATTTTCGATGCCCGGGATAAACGGTCTTCTTTCCTTTTTCCAGCTGATGGTAAAATGTGTCTTTTTCACATATAGGACACTCCTTATGCCCTTTAACTTTATACCCAGAAAAATTACCATATGCTGGAAAATCATTGATGGTGCAAAACAACATGGCACACATACTGAATTGTTCACAAGAATACGTATCAAAAACATCCACCCATTCCTCCCACAACACTCTTAAATCATCAATCAGTGGACTTAGATAAACGTCTATGTCATTTCCTGGTTGTTTTGGGCCAGATATCATGATTGATAACATAATATATTTACGCTTCATGCACAGCCTAGGAGATAGGTTGTAAATCATCAGGAGAACATGCCAAGAACTATGATTAGTACTCAGATTACCAAACAGATTCATTTCATTAGTAGAAAGTTCAAGTCTAAGGTTTCTCCACTCTTTGCCAAAATTTGGAAACAAAGAATCTATTTTTTTCCATTGCAAAGAATCAGCTACATGACGAATTTGTCCATCATATTTTCTTTCTTCTGAATGCCATCTAAGATTCTTTGTGTCATCTGCATTGGCGAATAATCTCTTGAACCTTGAAATTATTGGTAGGTATCATACCACTTTCGCAGGAGGACCCTTTTTGACCACCTCATCATCAATTGATTCACCATCTTTCTTTTTGTAGCGTGACGCCTTACACTTCGGACAATGATTATAGTTTACATACTCTTTTCTGTATAATATGCAATCATTAGGGCATGCATGTATCTTTTCAAATTCCAAACCCATCAGACACAATATTTTCTTTGCCTCGTAATAACGACTTGGCATTACATTACCTTCTGGAAGCATTTCGGTCAACAATTTAAGCAACTCGATAAAACTTTTTTCAGTCCACCCATTCCTTGCCTTCATATTAAATAATTTTAACACGGCTGACAGGTGTGTAAATTTTTTGCATCCCGGGTACAATGGTTTATCCTTGTCACTGCATAGAGTATCATACGCATGTTCCCTCTTAAACGAATCTTGTCCAATATCACGCATCATGTCTTCTAGACGATCATCCATTTCTATACTAACATCATCTCTTTGAGACACATTTGACTTTGCTACTACTTCACCGTGCCATATCCATTATGTATAACTTTGACAAATCCCTACACAAATTAGATGATCCATGATTTCTTTCTTACTACGTTTTGGTTCTTTATTTGCACAACGAACACATGGACAGAGAAAAAGCGCAGGAAGACTTTTTTCAGCATTACTTTCAGCAAACTGTAGAAATTCCATCACTCCATGTTCGTACTCGTCACTTAATCGATTAGCTCTCATCCAACTACGATCCATAACTATGTTCACACGGAGGAAGGTCTGACGAAGGGTGTGCCCACGGCTGCGCTACTTCACGAAGATTCTGAGATCGCAAGTTGTGCTGCTTCGCGAAGAAAGAAAAATAGAATCAAAGGAGACAATTTCTCTAATGAAAAAGAATGACATATACACAACATGTACTATATTCTTAACTCTATACAAAATATATATTATTTATAACTAATTAGACTTAATAAACTCTCTAAGAATAATAGACTGTTTAGTAATTAAAAAACAGATATGAACAAAAGAATGGATTCACCAAGCCACTGAGTTAGTATCTAGTATAATCTTATAATTGGTTTTATATGTACTTCCAATTATTTTATAATGTATCTCAGTAGCAAGCAAAACAACAAGAATATATTAAAAATATTTTTGTATGTATATCTCTCTTAGAAATCCATAGATATATAATGAAGTTGAACAAAATAGAAAATTTCTTACCGGAATCGTAGTTTGACGGCGGAGGGGGTTTCTTACCGGAACCGTCTCGTGAACGGCGGGAAACGGAGGAGGAGGAGACGGACGGAAACAGGCGGCGACGGAGACGGACGAAGGGCGTTCGTAGACGGACGGAGACGGTCGGAGACAGAGTGGTGGGCGGAGAGAACGGACGGTGTTGGCAGACGGGGTTGGCGGGCGGTGGTTACAGATCTCGTTCGTTGGATACTGTTTTGAAGAAGAGTCAATAACAAAATGAATAGCAGGAGTGCTTATTTCATAAATATATATTACACTTTTTACATCGGTGGATTCAAATAACCGATGTAATATATATTTGGGTTATACTTTTTACATCGGTGGAAGTTATGGACCGATGTAATGATTGTTTTTTACATCGGTGGAAGTCAATGACCGATGTAAGGGTTTTTTGATTTTTTACATCGGTGGAACACAAGGCCCGATGTAAGAGTTTTTTGGTTTTTTATTTACCAATCTGCCACCTAGTTTTTTACATCGGTGGATAGGAAGACCCGATGTAAGGGTTTTCTAGTAATTTTTTTTCCAATTTGCCACCTAGTTATTTATTTACAATACTGCCACCATGTTTTTTTTATAAAATCTTTTACATCGGTTTATTACTTTGACTGGTGTAATAGCCAGCGAAATTTTTTTTTTATAATATTTTTTATATCATTACAAATAAATACCTGATGTAAAATCTTTTTAATTTTATTTTTTACATCATATATTTTAATACATGATGCAAAGTCCTTTTCTCAAATATCATTTTTTTAGTAGTGCGTAATTGTTATTCCTCCGCATCTTGTCATCCTTCTTACCTTTTACGGGGGTTTTCACAATTTTTCTACAATACGTGATTCTACTTAAGATTCAAATCGTTGAGAATGAGTGAGATCGTAAAATCTTAAGATTTTAAGATCTAGATCGAGATCTTAACAACCATCATCAGTATAACTAACAAATTAACAAACTAGTTAATTACTTAAGTTAATAACAACTCATTAATCTTATATCTTTAATAAATTATTTTAATTTGATGTACCTAAAAAGCAAATATACTCATTATGTCATAAGCTTACTAAATAATCCAACTGGCGTTACAGAAGCAGTCAGAAACCCAATAATATGGTACTCACCATATTTGTCCTATAAGGACATTCTCAACAAACCAATTTTAAACTATTATTAACTGCAAATGGATAGCAAAGTAGCATGTGTGTGTCACCTTATCTCACATGTTAGCTAGCTGCATTGACCATCTCTATTATTTTCTTTGTTTCTTCTGTCTCTACTACATATAAATCACTCACCACTGTTATGGATTCAAACAAGCATCTCATACTCTTATAGCTTCCAGCTATATACATTTGTGAAAATGGAAAATCTGAGTAGGTACTTCAAGGTTTTGATTATCTGTCTTTTGGCCTCATCGACTCATGCTCAGCTGGAGCTAGGATTTTATTCTAAGAGCTGTCCAAAAGCCGAACAAATCATTCAAAAATTTGTTCATGAACATATCCGCAATGCGCCATCGCTTGCGGCTGCTTTAATAAGAATGCATTTTCATGATTGTTTTGTCAGGGTATGTATGAAGTTCAATCTGAATTTTTTTCCTATGAATTTCAAAGTTGATGAGCTAACATTATGCATTTTGATATAGGGATGTGATGGATCAGTTCTTCTGAACTCAACAACCAACCAAGCTGAAAAAAATGCTCCTCCAAATCTTACAGTTAGAGGATTTGATTTTATTGACAGAATCAAGAGCCTTGTTGAAGCCGAATGTCCTGGTGTTGTTTCTTGCGCTGATATCATAGCCTTATCTGCTAGAGACTCTATTGTAGTCACGGTAAGTACTCGATTCTATATTCAAAATATTATGTCCCGTTTAGATTGACTTATTCAAACTTACCTACTAACGTTACTAGGTGTGAGACTGTTTGAAAAGAGCTTATAGAAACGACTTATAACATTTTTATAAGGTGTTTTCGGATTACGAAAACGATTTTTGACAACTTTTTTGTGATTTCAGGGTGGTCCCTATTGGAAAGTTCCAACAGGTAGAAGAGATGGAGTAATATCAAACTTGTTGGAATCCAATCAAAACATTCCTGCTCCATTTAACAACTTCACCACCCTCCAAACTCTCTTTGCCAATCAAGGACTTGATCTAAAAGACTTAGTCCTCCTCTCAGGTATTATTTCCTTAAAATTGCGCATTTTTAAGTCCACTGCTAGAAAATGTTAGCGACATAACTAGAGACAAATTTTATTTCTAGTTTCTCGTCACTTATTCAACATTTTCTAGTAGTGTATATGGTTTTAAATTTAATGAACATAATTTCGAATTTTTTTAGGTGCTCACACAATTGGTATCTCTCTTTGCACTTCATTTTCGAACCGTTTGTACAATTTTACTGGAAAGGGTGATGAAGATCCATCACTTGACAGTGAATATGCAACAAATCTTAAGACATTCAAATGCAAGAACATCAATGACAATACTACAATAGTCGAAATGGACCCCGGAAGTCGAAACACTTTTGATCTTAGTTATTATAGTCAAGTTGTCAAAAGGAGAGGTTTGTTTGAATCTGATTCTGCTTTGTTGACAAATTCAGTTACAAAGTCTTTGGTGACTCAATTTCTTCAAGGGTCACTTGAAAATTTCTATGCTGAATTTGCTAAATCAATTGAGAAAATGGGTCAAATTAAAGTTAAGACAGGGTCACAGGGTGAGATCAGGAAACATTGTGCACTTGTAAATAGCTAAGAATAAGAATCTTGTCTTGTTGATTTATGTTTTTTGGGTCTGGTTATTTACTATGCCATGTCATGTTTTGTCTCAATAAGTTAGACCCTTATGGTATGGGGTGTTTTATGTGTGTTGTAATAATTTTAAAAATAAATTGCTTCAATCAATTGTAATTTATATTTTCTGGTATGGTGGTACATTATGTTCTTGTTGTAATAAAAGTAGAATGGAGAGAGAATTTCTAGTGTCAATAATATATTTGTAGAAGTTTGGTTACATTCAGGTTGTGCTAGATTTCTTCATAATTCAATGCAACTTTTTATGAAAACATTTAATTCAATGTCAAACTCTAATTATGTAGTGTTAAATTTTTTTTAATTATAATTATTTATGCTTTTTGGATAACTCCTATATCGTTCACACGGTAATAATCACTCATAGTCCTCCCATAAGCACAACATATGGATTCGGTATGTACTACTGCCACCTACATAAGTTAGTTTATACATGGTCCCCTACATCTGAAGCTGAGTCGAGAGTATAACCATCTCATATAGCTCGTAGGTCATGAACTGTATAAGTAATACTCAACTAACAAGTATAGTGTGCAAATCATCGATTGTCCTACTCTATCTCATGAGGACTTCAGCTTGTGCTTCACGAGTATATATCCAGAATTATACGATGAGACTAGGATCATCACAAATCTCACACCTGACTAAATGGATAACTCACGTATCATGTGCCTAATAGAGATATTATGGCGCTATATACTACACTCACGCGAAGATGCAAATTTGAGCCTATGTACAAAGTGAACCATCCAACGTCATACACTGATCATCCACCCATATCCTATAGGCGTGACTATCAAATAACTAGACATGTCTCCTTGAGGTCGTCACCCCGTAAGTCCTTCCGGTCACACTCCTTATGAATATAATAAAAACATAAGAGTGCTACATGTCTAGGATCCGTCTATACTAGATATAATTAATATAGGTTTGCCCTACGACGTTCCTAGTATCACGTAATTATAATCTCACTTATTGGGTTGCTAATTGTGAAACTAACCAACTAGAGTATTTCATCCCATAAAATGATATTTTACGCATCCTTAGCCAATGATAAGTCCAACATATCCCGTTAATTAGGGTTCATGCCTATCATTAGCGACTATTTGAATTCGAAGCTACTTAAGGAGACATTATGGCTTGCATAATGCAACCAAGATTGTTCACTAACACTTAGTCCAATTTCTAAGTGTATGGATCACACCTAGTTATTCGCTACTTAGTGAAATTATGTTCTTCACAGGACATACGTTGGACATAATGTATCGGATAATTGTGTTTGACTTTCTTATGACATATTAACATAAACAAGATGATAAATCATAAAGTAATAAAGAACACAAATGATTCTTAACTTTGTTCGATGCAACGTCACCTACGCCTAGAGGACTTCCAACCCAAGAAAGGAAATCTACTCTCAATAGTATTAGTACAAAGTGTCTTTGTCGAACAAACCTTGTTCAATGCCCCCTCTTTCTAATACTACTAATATATTTATATTTAGGACTCCCCATAAATATGAGGTCTCTCTCACTTTCTCTCAATCACTAACCCTAGTAATCAATACACAACCCAAATTAATGTTTGTTGAATTACAATTCTATAAAAAACAACCTATATACCTTTTATATAAAATATATACGCTATAAAGGTGCACAAACAGAAACAATTACAAATACTCAAATAACAAAACCTAACACTTAGAATCTTCCACTCTAACTTATATCTTCAAAGGTAGAAATGAGTCTCCTTAAATAGAAAATCATCTTCTAGACTTTTCTCCAATGAGTGTTAGATTTGAGAACAACTAGATTTGATTTATATGCATATTTGATTTGCTTTTCAAAAACAGACACCAAGAGATTTGATTTTATCTTCATTCAAATTACATCTTCATGATGAAATGTTAATGATGTTTCTGAGCACTATGGTAAACACATGAATAAATTGTAACTTGTACCTCAATGAAGTGATCATTCTTTCAAGTTCCAAGGATATCTTTACATTGTTGCTTGTGACACAATTCTTGTTACCACAATTCTTGTTACCACAGAACTTTGAACATGGAGCTTTTTCTCATCCTTTGAGACACAATTCCAAGTTTTGACACGATTTAAACTACCGTAACAGCAAAAAATACCACCACAAAGCCCTTCTTTTCTTGTAGTGAATTTTTTGTTTTGTATTTTGTTTCAAAAGACTCATAATATAGGTTCGAGGTTTGTATTCTTAACGTTGTTGTCAGTATTTTGGTTGATATAATGTACCACCTTGTAACTTCATGTATAATATTTTAGACAATTATGCATTATGTTATAAATATAATTAGTGGGATACTCGTGCGTTCGCATAAGTACTAGTGTGTAACGCACATTTGTTTTTAAAATATAATAAAAATATTATTAAAAAAAAATTATTTTACCAAAAGAGTATATCATTTTTAAAATAAATAAATATTTTGATTTATATATGAATCATAAATATAATATTTTTATATATAAAAATATTTTGATGAACGGTATATTTTCTCATATGCAATGTTATTTTGTTTTGACATTATATATACAAATATTTAGATAAAAATAACTTGTTCTCATTTTAAATAAATATTAAAATTTGTTCATTAATTAAAACATAACATTTGTCATTAATAATATATATTAAAGAAATGATTACATCAATAATATAGTTCACTTTTTCATATATAATCTTAAAAAAAAAATTGTATCTTAAATTAAATATAATTTTAAAATAAATATATTAAAAACACAACTAATTAAAAAAACAATTATGTTTTTTATGTGTTTGAATTCATACATTATTTTAAAAATAATTTTAAAATAAATATATTTTGCCCGTGTTTAGATTGATACATTATTTTAAATATATTTACTTTTATTTTTTTAATTGTACAAAAAATATAATAACTCATGGATTTGTATGAATTCTGATACGAATACATGTGTGTTCGTACGGGTACTACTGTATTACGTGCATTTATTTTTAAAATGTAATAAGAATAAAAAAAAACAGAAAGACAATTAATCCATTGTCTACAATAAATCCAACATTTTTAGATAATCTTCATTTAGTTTTAATTTACTGGCCGGATCCCTAAAACTGGTTACCATTTGCCAACTTTTAATATACATACATTTTGTCATAGCATGGACACATGAAAAAGAGATAAGGAGTTATTTTTTGCTTTATATGGCAGTTGTATTGTACTAAACATTACAAGCATAAACATACAAAATTTTATACATGAAAATTATAGTATTAGCTGCTGTCACAACTCAAATTCAAAATATAGCTATGATTTATAAATAATCTCATTTCAAGTTCATGAAAGCACGCACAAATTGTCATGTATAAGTTGTAAGCAAAAACCTACTTTATGGTCGACCAAGCTTTGCAAATCCAAAATCAGCGACTTTAGCTCGCATCCTTTCAGTCAGAAGAATGTTGGATGATTTCACATCCCGATGCATAATTTATTTTTCTGGTTTAAGGCAACGATTAGACATCACTTGAAAGATCTATAAACATTAATTGACTATATAGAGAAATTATGATGCATCAATATGCCAAAATAATTCAAAAACTTAAAGCCTAATAAATAAGCCAGAAAGGTAAAAGCAAGAAATGCTTAAAATGTATCAATTGTATAGAGAATAAACTGTGATTGAATAAACAAAAAATATATAATTTAGGTTGAAGTTGTTTTCTTAAAACATTTGTTTATAGTATCTAATATGCAATCTGCATTTTATATTTGGTTTCCATGCAACAAAAATGCAGAATGTGAACAGATTTTGTGTAACAAAGAATGAAGGGATTAGTGACCTACATACAAATGCAAATAGGTCAATCCATGAGAAACATCAATTGTGATTTCAAGACGCTGATTGAAATCTAGGATTTTCCCGAACAAACCTACCAGCAATATCAAAATAATAATCAGTGTTACTTTCCATATTTGAATACAAAATACTTGCAAAGAACAGTACACAACCCTACCATTCAAATGTTCTCGAAGAGTACCATTTGGCACAAACTCTATAATAGGATACGTTAGTTTCCTTTGTCAATATAACCAAGTACTTTCCTCGGGTTTCGATGATCAATTTTGGCCAGGAGTTCGACTTCACTGCTGAATTTTGCTCTCAAACTCTCAAAATGTTCTTATATTGTTCAGTCATGTCAATATGTTATCACTAAAATAAGAAAGTATTTCTTAAATATTAGTGGTACAGAATAGGCAAAATAGTTTATAATATAGTGTTATATCATATCAACAAATAAATTTTCTAAAAAAAAGAATCTATAACTTTAGCACTCTAAAATTGGCTGCAGATTTATGAAGTATAGACATCAAGTGATACTTCTTACCCTTTTGTTCATTTTATAGTTACGATCAGGCCATCATCTAAATTAGCCATGTAGAGAGTTCCAAAACCTCCTTCTCCTATTTGTAATGTTTTTGAAAAGTTATGGGTAGCTTTAGAAACCTGACTCGGGTTGAGATGTAATGATTGGGAGGTTCAAAGGAAGAAGCTAGATCCACTGAAAAAGCAAAAGTGTTCATCACTTTACTCGTCATTCAAAAGTAACAGGAAGTACAATCATGAAGAATGAAGAAATTTAATAGGAGATTTAATATGAGATTTAATTCAAGAATGACACTGTCATATTTGGAAATTGAATAGGAGATTTAAATAGACCTGCTCACATCAATCAAGGAAAGTCTGCATTCTTTACCAAAACCAAGAGTTCATGGACATCAACTAAAGAAGTTTATCAAAACTCGAATAGGGAATAAAATCATACAATAATAAAGCTAAACCGCTACCTTTTTGCAAGAGCCAAACATTTGCAGATCCACTTTCTCAAGTTTGTGACCGAGGTCTTAAGTAATAATCTGAATATAGAGAAAACATATCA